GTAAACAAAATAGCTTGTAAGCTATTTTTTTACTCAGGTAGTGGCCCATATTATATGTATTATTATATTATTTATTTGCTTTCAAATCCAGAGTGCGTATAGGCTCTTTTACATTTTACTCGCGGATTCGAGTAGCACCGTTAGCTCCACGATAAATAATAAGTTTAAATAGTNGTTTAGCTCGTGAAAATTTTTTACGTTTTGCCTTCGTTGGCGAGTATTTTTCTCTTTTCCCTCATTCGTTATTTAAACAGCAAAATAGTGCTTAAATTCGCAGTGTACCAGAGATTTCTTCTAAAATACTGAATAGATTCGAACGAAACTTTGCAAATAGAAACCTAACCTCCCAACGGTTATGTTTAGCTCGTGACATTTTTTTTTGATTTTGCCTTTGTTTGCGAGTTATACGGCTTTACGTATATGGCTCATGGTCAATGCAAGTTCAAAAATCGGCCTGAGAAATGCCGGTCGTTTCTCCGTATATCAGTATAACTCGCAAACGAAGGCAAAATCGAAAAAGTTGTCGCGAGCTAAACATTACCGTTGGGAGGTTAGGTTTCTATATGCAAAGTTTCGTTCGAATCTGTTCAGTATTTTAGAAGGAATCTCTGGTACACTTCGAATTTAAGCGCTATTTTGCTGTTTAAATCACGAATGAGGGAAAAGAGAAAAATACTCGCCAACGAAGGCAAAACGTAAAAAAATTTCACGAGCTAAACATCACCGTTTAGTATTCAGAAATTCATATGCAAAATTTCATTCAGATCTGTCCAGGACTCTGGAAGAAATGGCCGGTACACTGCAAATTTCGGCACGTTACGTCATATAACTCACGAATGAAGGCGATATTAAAAAATTGTCACAAAAAAATTGTCACGAGCATGACATCACCGTAAAACCATAATGAATATGTGTACCAAGTTTCATCGCGCTACGTTCAGTACTTTGGGAGATATTCCAGGTACACTGAATTTGGACACCGGCCGCGAGACCGGCAGCAAGTCCGGCCGTAAATTTGTCCGAAACGTGATGGACGTGGCTTGGTGGTGAAGAATATCACATTCGCTGCAAGGCTCCGGCGCGCTACGTCCGAGTGGTACAGAATTTTTTCACAGTACGGCGGACGATGCTAGGCCATTCGATCGCCGGCTGTTTCTCCTAAAGGCTGATTGGTATAATTCAATTGATTCGTTCTATCTGGTGGCTTTCGGCTGCCTATACGATTGTCCAGAAGTGTTGAAGTCTACGTTACGGAAGGCAGAAATCATGGTGGTCCATTACATCCAGGGCAATGGTGGTCTTCGGCAGGGCACCCTTCCATGGCCAGGACCGCGTTAAAAAAAACAACTTGCAGACAAGAAGGCAAGTGGACTGCAAGTTCTCACTTTCTAGACACGAGCACGGGACTTCATGCAGGCTGTAATCCAAAAGCTACTGGACAAGAGCCCTATCAGGTATGGCCTTGGTAGGAACCTGAGATGGCTGGTGCCAAAAGTCTTCATCAAGAAAGACTGTAAGGAAGCCGACAAGGCACAGTAGAAGAACTGTCTCACTTTGCTTGTTGATGCTAAGANGGAAAGCCTTGCAGTAACTGTGATATTCTTCTTATTCTAGTCTATGAACATAAAATTTACTAAAATTTTATGAAAATTGGTTAATAAGCAACTGCTACCAATGAATGGTCTTTGTTATAGTTGTCATCTAGTTTAGCCTTCGACCTTGGGCTTGGATATAAGTCTAGATCATGCTTGTATTGATGTTCCGATATCTGACTTTAAAACAGCCACCCCTCAACAAAAAACTGAATGAAGTGATTGTATTTCATGCAGCTTGATATTCCACAGTACTATTTCAACAGCCAGTAAATTCTTTGTTGACGACTTTAATTTTGGTCCAGCTGAGATGACTAGACGTGAAGGCTGATAGAGCACAGAAAGCGATGACGGCACTTACCATACCAAGGAATTCCGCATACACTTCAGCTTCCCCTCAAGATAAAATGAATGAAGTGATTGTATCGTGCTGAGATTATTTTGTCATTTAAACAAAATTCAATTTATAAATATCATGAATCAATTTGGCTTGAATATCAGTGATGCGCGACCAGTGCTAGAACGGACGATGAAAATTAGTGTCGTTTGGGATAAGATTGCTATTTTTGTGGTTTATGCCTATTTTTTTGTAGGTCCATTGGCAATTGGGGGTTTATTCCTCCAAAATTATCTTCTGGTGCAATAATTTAACAAGCACTTAGTTTGAGGAATTGAATTTCCTTTTCTGAGTCACCCATGCATTGGTTTGAGTTTCGCTAATTCGCAGGTTCCAGTGATAATCATGAACCCGAATGCACTCTTCACGTACTTTCATGACATCGTGGGAAATGTTGATTTTCCTTCTTTCGTACCCGTCATTGGACTGCCCATGGAGCATCCTATGACATTCACACAACGCCTTCTGAATACCCTTGCCAATTTCTTCAGCTCCGCACTCACCAAATTCTATTATCATCCAAGGTGAGTGCTGACAGCCCATTCCCTATACGAAAAAAGATAATTTTTACTTACCCAAGTTTTCATTTTTTCAACATTTAATGTTCAAATTAGTCCCCTTGGGCAGCTGCAAACTGAGGAAGACTTAATTCTCACTTTTATGGAATTAATGTCCTCTTCCGTGTATACGTTAAACTCTTAGTGGTAGTTCCTGTAGCCATAAGTAATTTGAGGCAATTTTTATGTTATAGAAACTAAAACATACTTGGGGCTCAAACTAGGTCAATGGCTAGTCGAGATGGCTGGGGAACTAGAGTAATGCATTTTGAAGTCAGAAATTTTGTAAAAGAGGTCAGTATTACATAAGAGACGTTGTAATTCAGTTGTTTGCAATGCCATATCATGGTCTCTCGTGTAAAAAGATCGAATTATTTGTGAAAGATTTCCTTTGAAATAACAAAAATAATAAATCAGCGTTAACTGATTCTCGATTTTATAGTTTTCAAAGTTGATAGTATGCTTGAACGGTGTCCGTAATCATCATGCTAAAGCTCTTAGCAAAAATAACAAGTGCCAGCAAGGACAAATTTAAGTTAAAAAAGGAAAGAAACTTCAGTGACATGGTGTCTTTTCGTAATCAGTGTTGAAAAAGCATGCAAAGCTGCTGGTCTGTGCCCGCGCGACATGAGATCTATTCAAGACATCGCTGCAAAATCTGCATTCATTTTCATAAACAAGTAAGTGTCAATGACGGCAGATAGTGCAAAAACTTGAAATTTAGTTATGATTATCTAATTATAATTTGTTTCTCCATACTAAATATGTATTAGAGAATGATGCGATAATTATCGTATTCAACTCTCACATATGTCCTACACTCCCGAAGAGATTCGTGCATGCAGTGTTCACAACCCGTATTGATTGCTTTCCCATTATATGAGTTTCAAAGACTTCTCCACTATGAAGTCCTTCAGCCTCACATTAAGGTCTTTTTGTCTTGCCACAATTATTCTTTAGTTTAATTTTTCTCCTACTTTCCAACAAAATAACCATTTGCATATTTCGAGAAATCAATGCACAATTAAATAATATCCTTCCCAAGTTAAACGCAAATTCATGCGTTCTGTGCCAGTTAAATGAAAAAATTTTGAAGGTAGAGTGAACCTTCACCTTTAAGAATCCCTCGTGTCCACCCCCAGCGTGCAGGCCCTGGAGACGCCAGTGCGGCCCTACGTGCCGGCCGTGATCCACGCGGGGGGCCTCAACTGCCGGCCCGCCCAGCCGCTGCCGGAGGTGAGCCGCAACATGCGTGACGTGGGTTTATCAGGGCATGGCGCACACCGAGTAGATATAAATTAAGTATCAATGATGGAGCAAATTTAGCAAATCACAAAAGAAACGTATGAAATCACAAAACATACTAAATCGAGAACAAATAAGAATGATTCGTCAAGATAAATACATTTTTTAATAATTTTGCTGAAACTTGTGTCAAAAAATATTGTCTAGCATTCCATAGGAAGATGCCAGAGTAGCTTCCATTTGTTCTGATTATTTTTCTGGAAATGCTTCGAAAAAACAACTTTTTCCCTAGAAATGAGAATGACTGATCACTGCTAGTGCTCAATTTAACATGCTGTATAAGTGCATGAAATTAGGAAATTTGTTGGCTACAATAACGATAATATGCCTTCCTAAAACTAATAACTTCTCTCCAGATGAATTATTTTAAAGTTGTTTACATGACATTAGATCCTCCTAAGATCATACTTCGTCAATGAAAGCTGATCTTCAGTTTTTTACGTATGTCTAATACTGTCATGGGATTTCGTCATTTTCAAATCTATTTTTTTGTTGTTTGGGATGATTAAATTGAAAATTAAAGCATTTAGCCTGGATGGCCTATTAGTTTAGCCTATGGCACTTGATATTCTCAGGATCTTGCATCGTGGATTGAAGGTTCGGGCGACGCAGGCACCATTTACTTCAGCCTGGGATCCATTGTAAAGCCGAAGGACATGCCTGAGAAGTAAGTGCACTTCTGAGATGATTAGAGACGGTTAAACGGCCGAGACGTGTTTGGAAAAAAGAGCTAAGTGCTTAATAGATTAAAAATTGTATCATACAATATTCATAACACTGGTCTGATAGGCGAAAATTATCTCACGACAAACTTTTTTCCAACGTATGCGTCATTCTAATTCAAATTTCATTTGCCTTTGTCACTTGTTTTATTTGAACACGTTTTAGTTCGCTCCTTCTGACCGTGTTATTACTTCATTAGACTTCAAAAGAGGAGAAAATGCTAGGTGAAATTGACCCCGCAAAACTAATGCGAGTATGACGCTGATTAGATTCAACCTTTATCACAATTGAGAAATTAGAGCATTAAGTTGTTTCACAAAGTGTAGGACATGCTGCATCATAACAGATTTATCCATAATAATAGCGTTCAAAACGAATGATTTTCAGTTTTTATTTGATGTAAACTAACCGCGTCGATCTTTATAGTTTCCGTGAGGTGTTTGTGAAGGTTTTCTCGACTCTTCCCCAACGCGTGATATGGAAATGGGACGAGGCGTCGATGCCAGGCCTGCCCCCCAACGTCAAGCTGGCCAAGTGGCTCCCGCAGCAGGATATCCTGGGTGCGTGGGACTCTTAAGACGTGGTCTGTCCTATGCTAGAAATTCAAAAGCAATGGACAGTCTAGAATAAATATGTAATTCGGTTATCAACGTTCCCTGAGAAAATGTGCAACTTTGCGGTATTNGACAGACCAAGACCACCGGTGAGCTCAAGAAGAAAAAAGAGTAGCCTGTGCTCAACTTGGGTAATAGATAGGGGTCACTAAACCAAATGAAAAGCTGAAAAGACTTCTGTACCCAGAGCAAGCATTATAATAAGTATCAAGAATATTATGAAAATCTAATGAAATCACAACAAAATGTAACAAGAACTACGAAATCAACGTAAATGACAACATCCACTTTAAAATTTCATAGTTTTGAGACATTTTAGAAGAGCATACCTATTGCATGAGGGCAGACCTGTCTCCTTTTTGAGTTCCGTACTCAGTTCAGCATTCAACTGGGCTCCTGGAATTCAAATACTATAAAATGAGGGTTTTACGCAATTACCCAAGCTGCGAGGGTTCACTGAAACTATGAAATTTTTTACTGAAAATATTGTACGTAAAGAATTTTTATTGTAAAAAAAACACTAAATAAAACCTACTTTTATTTTGTCAATGCTTTAATGGTTTAATGATTCGAGATAAATCAGGATTTCTGTCTGATAATGCGAGCTGTGATGTAGGTTTTTTAAAGCACAGTTGTCACTAGGAGAGGTGCATCGGAGAATTTATCTACTTGCTCTACATAGCTTAATTCTAGCATAGAAGCATTCACTGAGACAGCCACACTAAAACAAGCTCAGATCATAGTGTCCTTATTAAAAATTCACTTTTAACCCATAAAATCATTTAAACTTTGTAAGATTTTTTCGCCGTTTTTATATAAGGGAAACACGTTTATAGAGGAAAACGCCATTTTATATAATGGGGTTTATGGAGACCTTGGGGTACAAAAGAGACACGCTATTTAATACTTTTTATCCATTTTTCATACTCGCTTAATTTAAGAACGACAAAAAATTCTAGCAACGCCTGCCGTTGCGTAGTAAGATAAGAATATTTTTTCAATTACAAGTCAGATGACCGAAAATAGCGTTACATTACATTCCGCTCGTCCAAATAGTTCAATAATTAAGTTGAGATCGTTTTGGGAGTCGTTAATTCTTATAAGGAATGCTATGACGCTGGACTGGTATTACGTGCTCAAATCGGGCATTTTATTTTATCAAAAATATCCTATTTTTCGCATATTTTATAAGCAGAAAAAATTACTCTTGCACTGCATTCCACTAAAACTCCATCCAAAAATAAATTAGTAGTCATTAGCTAGTAAATAAATTGATACACACGAGGAGAGATGAAAAAAAGAAACAACTTTAATGTAGATGAAAATTGCATCGACATCAAACGTTGAGCAAGATGGAACCGTTGCTTTTAAGGCTGAAAAAGGTTGTTTACTACCAAGTCATAATAAGTGCGATACTAATACGACGTTTGAGAAGTGAGGTCACATATATGCCAGGTTACGTTAGGTAATAGGTTAGATCAAGTAACAACAATCTTGTTTATATTACTACCACCGAGAGAAAGCGGCCGAATCATCTTGTGTATACAGACGTAAACTATCTTCTACTATCATGTTACCTCCGTGAGTTTGAATATAATTACATTGCTTACTCACTTCAAACTCATAACTTTCAAATTCATAATCCTAAAAATGCTAATAATTTTTGAGATTGCGTGCACTGCGGTTTTATGATAATTAATTTCAGGGAAGAAATACTTTACAGTTCGATATTTTGGCTTTCGAAATCCAATGAGGGAAATTGACACTTCCAAAAGATACTAATACTTCCAAAAGGTACTGATGCTAAGGGAAGATACGAACAGTGATAAATGTAGATCATTTTTATATTTGGGGAACATTCCTCCCCGGCTTTCTCGTAATCAAGTACAATTATTTCGTTCCTAAAATTTTTATCAGTCCGTCACATTAGAGATCGTAATTTGTTTTGTGTTAACGAAAGGAACGAGTGTTTACCGAAATTAAATTTAGGTTACCTGCAATTTGCATGGCCTAATTGAATGAGAGGCGTAAATAGAATGTCAAAACACACATTTTTGTTGGTTTCATTCAGATACCCTGACGATGACAGTTGATAATTAAAAAATCAGTTTTCGAGGAACTTTCACTATGTTCACGCGCGGTTCTGAATAAATAAGAACATCTTGAAAATCTAAACCGTAGGTCGTCCAAAACGGCCAAATTAATGTATGATATCTATTCATACAATAGGGCTCAGTGATCATACGAGTTCACGTAACGTTATATAATTACTTCAAGTTGCCGTCCTTGGACGTGTATTTGCATAGTGCCAAGTCATTTATCTTTTTCGGGTCAAACGAGGAAAAAAAATATCGTGAATGCTTGATTGATAACGTCTTCTTATGATGAGAACTTGCCGGTAATCTTTGATAATGCCGATCTACTAGTGACTACGCGTGTCATTCGCTTTTAATGAAACAGACGAACAGTTGTCTCTATTTTACCGAGACAAACACAAGTGTGTAGTGCTTTTCGTAGTAAGTGAAGGTTATAATTTTTTTTTTATTTTTGTAAGTTAAGTTTATTTAGTTACAATTTCTCAAGTTTGATTATCTAACTTATGCAATAATACATTGAGACTTTCCCACACGGACTGACTTCAATTTAAAACTTCTTGACGCATTTCCGAATTGCAATTTTAATTGTTTCATGTGGCATTTCCATTCAGCGAGATTGTACGGCTTATAAATTAGTCGTTAAATCCGTATTTTGCGAACACTGTTTTTCTGTTACCAATCAACTATTGGCTAATGGGATACCAAAAGTAATAGATGTATGAAATGATTGCCTTGTGGTTCGTGAGGTTGGGTCCCTCACGTGCCATTGATTTTTTGGGTGCCATTGATTTTTTGCTTAAAACTTCTAAAAATATTCTTAAATTATAAGAAAAAATTAGAATTATATATTCTAAATCTTAAATTATAAGAAAAGGACTTCAAACCTGCCGAGAGTTTATGACAGGAGTTCCAACTAAAAGTGTTCAGTCCAATCGTAACATTATTCAATAGTTCACTGTAAACGACATAGCATGAATATTTTTTTATTTTTCTTCGATTAAGGCACATATTCAATCCCGACTTAGAACTCTCTAACGCTGAGATACATTTGAATTGTTTTTTAGATTCGAATCGCACCGAAAGTTCCAGGGTATACAACTAGTGTAGCACAGATGCAGGTTTGTAAGGTACAGTTGGTGGCGCTGCTGCTGCTGCTGAGCTGCGGCATGTACAGTCACGGCAGCAAGATCCTCGTCATCGCGCCGTTCGGCACCAAGAGCCACTGGCAATTCTTTGGCGAGATTGTCAAGACTCTCGCTAATCGAGGACATCATGTGAGTATTATTCATTATGTTAGGCATATCAAGCATAGATTCCCGCTTAATTCTTACTCACTGATTATTATATATCTGGAGGTTATGGCGACGAGATAACCCCATGACCACCACACATCACGACTGCGCAATAGCCTTTTGACCATCACACGTCATGGCTATGCAATAACGACGTGACCACCACACGTCATGACCTTGCAATAGCCTCATGACCATCACACGACATGGCTGTGTAGTAGCCCCACGGCCTCTATACCGACTATATGTCATGGCCGGCCGTGCAATAACCTACATGCAGAATACCGCACGTCATGGCTGTGCAAGAACCCAATGACCACCACACAGCATAACTGTGCAATAACCACATGCCCACCACACTGAAATATTATATAATATTGTCATCGATCGGGTTAGTTATCCTGTTTCTAATACTAATATATGCTAATGACAAGAGAAGTGGGAAAGAGTAATACGCAGTTTGAGCGGTTATCGGTGGCTTAGAAGTGATTTGCCTCTATTTCGCCATTGATGATTTAGACCTAACAAATCATCAATGAACGCCACCTATATATACTCGCCATACTCTTGATTTTGAGGTGTTTTACCATCGCCATTTGGCAAATGTGGCCACCCATCTTTATGTCACCTATAATCTACCATGAACACCTACAATCATCGATGCGCCACTCTAAGTTTTTATTGAGGATTGACGTAGCGTAACATATTTTATGTGCGATGAAACTGTTCAGGTGACGTCACTGACATCACTGCCGATGATACGCCACGACAACGTCACTGAAATAGACCTTGACATTGACCTGGATCCTATTATCCCGAACACGTTCGAAAATCGCGGTTGGGGGGTGAGCGTTAACCTGTTGAAGAGGATGCCCGGGATGTGCGCTGAAGCGTTGTCGAGGAAACAAGTGCAAGATATTAAAATTGATGAATACGACCTGATATTTATCGGCCTCTTTGTCAGTGACTGCTTTTATGGACTCTTAGAGGATACCCAAGTAAGCAGCGTAACTTAGATTCTACCTACCTGTAATATTTATAAGAATATTGAATCTTTAAAAAATTCGTGATTGCTTACTTATTAGCATTGCGTGTGATAAAATGCTCTATAAAAAATGTGTATTGTGATGCTTATTTTAATTACATATCATGATGGAAGCTTATATCTTGATAATAAATGTCCAGTCGTCGGCGAAGGTGAAGTCTCAAGATCAAGGAAACATGTCACGGAATTCTGATATCTTGAAGAAAAACCCAGCCTGAAATTTGGTCCCACTCGTAAAACATCCACTATCTCGTTTATGATAAGACGCGTGCTGGTCGAAAAGTGATATTATTATCGCAATAAATGAGCAGATGGTTATTATCTGCGGTTAAATAACTCCCGTGCATGCTGTTGTATAATTATTGGCAATTAATCAAAACGGAGTTCATCGAGACCAAGCAATAGGACAAATTTTAACCAATGTTGTTTGTTTGCATTGAAATATGAAAGTTAAAATCGCTTCTAAATCAGTAAGCGAATAATAATTGAAATGAAATTTTGATTTCATATCACTTAAGGCGAAATGCAACAGATTTTCACCTTCTTTCAGAAAAAGGATAGAACCCAATGTTTCTGCCCGCCTAATTATCTGTCATTTTTATCCTTTAATCTAATTAATACCAATCAACTACGATGGCGGGAGCTCGTTGTGACCTCAGGCGTGGGGCATTTTGGTCGTGCAAAATGGAGAAAATTGAGAAAATATTCTAGATGTTTCCTTGCTAATTATCAATCATTAATTTATGAAAGAATAACCAAAATTGTTGTTTAGTTAATTGTGCCTGTGCATGATTTTAATTGATTAATTTGCAGGTTCCAATGATAACCATGAGCCCGAATGGGCTCGTCTCGTACGCCCATGAGCTAGAGGGAAATATAGATTTCCCTTCGTTCGTACCGATGATGGGTACGACGATGTTGCATCCGTTGACGTTCACACAGCGCCTTCTCAATACTTTAGCGAACCTCTTCAGTCATGCTCTTACTAAGTATTATTATCTTCCGAGGTGAGTGCCTGCAGTGCATACTGTCCAAAACGTCAAAAAGGGCGTTGCTTCTCCAGATCGGAGTTAATCATCTAGTGTCATTTTTCGTGTTCCTAAAAAAATCTCGAGCAATTAATGTAAAACTTTCCTCGGCATACATTGGTTTTCCAAGCGTCACATTTGGCAATTAAATTATCTGTGCCCTGAATTGAATCACAGCCCAGAATTTCATGAACGCTCAAACACGTCTGATGTGTTGCTATAGTCTCATTACCACACCGCCCCACTCCGTATGTCTCTATAATGTTTTTTTTTCACTGTTTCTTTAGTTGATTTACGAAATACTGAGAAGTGAATAGTTGTGATAATAAATAACTAGTTTAGCGTTGAAATTTTATTTATCTGATGCGTCGTTTCTTCATCAGTGTTGAAAAAGCATGCAAAGAAGCTGCCCTATGCCGGCCTAACATGAGATCTATTGAAGAAATCGCTGCAAAATCTGCATTCCTGTTCATTAACAAGTAAGAGTTAATCAAGACCGCCAGAGACCGACCGCCAGATTTTAATTTTTTCCCAATCATTTGCAATATGTCGGAAAATAACAAGTTTATTTACAATATTGGCCTTCTTGTATTCAATTTTCACTTGAAACAGAATGTTATGCAGCTTACGCTGAAAGTAGCTAAGGCCGATATCATTTAAAATCGTGTTGTTCCTTTAAAAATTTTAATTTTTAGTCAGTTGCATTTGGATGAGCCTGTATGGCTTTAAATTCAACAATAATCAGCAACTCTAATGTTATTCATAAGGTTCAATAATTAATGCTGAATGTAAGCAAGGGCGTCCAGAATTGCAGCTTAAGACATTCATGATAGCATTAATTCAATAATCTGATCTTTTAACCCTCTACCGCCGTAAGTCACTCTCCGGGAACGTAACGTTCAAATGAAATTATACGTAAAGTATTGAGTGTAACAACCTGAGAACGTTTGTACGCAACAGAGAACATTTTAAAGTTGTCGTACGTGGCGGCAACCATCAGTGCAAGTCATTTTGCGCTCACTAGAACGTATCCTTTTTGGGAAGTAGGATCGTGGTAATATTGCTCCGGTTACCCATGTCAGGCGGTAGTGGGTTTAGTACCAATTTATGAAATTTCCGAATAACTTAGATTGACCTTGTAAAAGACGGAACGAAATGATGCACCGACACGACTGCCATACCACCGTAATTAACACCACCATGTTTTCTGCAGTGGTACTGATAAAAACTGCGGTAATAAAAGTGATTTCGAGGGTAGAATGTAAAATTTTTCATTCGTGTGACCAACATTTAATATAACTTCTTCGAATAATACCCTATCTCCTCGAACAGGTTCAGTGTACCTTTTCTTTGAATAATACCCTAGCTCTTCCTACAGGTGCAGTGAACTTCATATTTAAACAATCCCTGGTGTTCACCCTCAGCGTGCAGGCCCTGGAGACGCCAGTGCGGCCCTACGTGCCGGCCGTGATCCACGCGGGGGGCCTCAACTGCCGGCCCGCCCAGCCGCTGCCGGAGGTGAGCCGCAACATGCGGGACGTGGGTTTATCAGGGCATGGCGCAAACCAAGTAGATATCAATTAGGTATCAAAGATAGAGAAAAATTAGAAAATTTTCAATTTTATGGAGAATCGTAAAAGAAACTGTTTAAATCACAAAACATACTAAATCGAGTATAAAAACAATGAGGCATACAGAAGTATAATTTATCAATAATTTTGCTTAACTTTGTCGTGCCACAAATATTGTGTAGCATTATTTAGAAAGATACCATTCAGAGTAGCTTCCACTTCTGATTATTTTTCCGAATCAGATAATTGCATAGCGAAGGCCGGGTGGATACTAATAAGAAGTATCAAATATAAATAGAGTAATTTGAACGATATAGAGAAGCTAATGAGGAAATAAAATTGTAAACCAGAGAGTGATCCCGTGAAAACACGCCCTCTTAAAGTTTTGAAGTGATGTTCACCTTCATTGAACAACTATCATGCTGCGAAATTAATTGAAAAGAATTACCAAAATTTTTTTTATTAGTAAAGTCCTTTTTACTGCGAGAAGTCAATCGGACATTTATCTTACTTTTATTTCGGTAGTGTGTTTGTTCATGCTTACCTTAAATTTACCTTTGTCATGCTTACCTGAAATTTACTTCTATGCAAAATTATTTCATTTCATGGTAAAACTTATCAATTTGCAATCACAGCGTTTGGAGTGACTATCGGTATTATTGACTAAATAGCAGGAAAATATTTTGTAATTTTTGTAGTTCATTAATTTCAATTTATATGCATATTTTTCTAGGTTTTCGTCTGTTTTAAGCCTGGCACTACAAATATAGTAGGCTGTTATTGACAACGAATCGGGATTTTTCCGGGCCCTGAAATTTCATTCATAATACGAGAATAGGAAAGGATTACACGAAAGGGAGGAAAGAATTGGATTTCATTCAATTAAACACAACAGCTTCATTGTTATTAAAGAAATTATGAAACGGCAACTGATGGGACTTGCATAGATAACAGTATTCTAGAATTGACGGAATTTTCAGGCCCAGGCAGCCTTGCTAGTAAGTTAATTAAGTCCATTATTGTTGCATATTCCGTCCATGGCATTTATGGTTTTCAATTTGCGTAGGTGACAGATTGTTTTTCTTAAAGAGACTTGGTTCTCAGGGATGGTGCACTTGATTTTAATTTTTATCTGTGAAACTGCGATCGCCAATTAATTAAAGACGATTTTTGACACTTAATCGAAATTAAAAACTTTGGTCTGGATTCATTCAAAGCACTTACACCTTCAGGATCTTGCATCCTGGATTGAAGGCTCGGGCGACGCGGGCGCAATTTACTTCAGCCTGGGATCCTTTATAAAGCCGAAAGACATGCCTGAGAAGTAAGTGCGCATCAGAGATGATGTGAGACGGTTAAACAGCTGAGAGTTCCTGGCTCGCCTAGCGCGTAAATTAGCAGCTCTATAAGTCCGCTTTACGCTTTGGTTGTACGAGCAAAATAAGCGTCTGATTAGAATCCGGTCACAGACCGACCGAGCTTGGGGCGATCGTGGGGCACGCGTGTTTGGCACCTGATATATGCTTTGGCACGGGCATGGCTGAATCTGCAAATGGTTAAAAAATGCGCCCTCCCTTCCCCGTAATAATGGGAGAAGGGAGGGGGAATTCGAATCGCTGCACGATGTATATACGTGCAGACTAGACGGAAACATTGAATGTATCACGGCGGCACAATTAAGCAAGTGGCAAGGAAACACGAATTTGAACTTGGAATAGTATCAGTTAATACAACTTTCAACCCAAACTTTCCAACTTATATACCTACAACATTATCTAATATTTACCAGAATGCAAGATTCTCTCACATTGCCAAAACAAAAAAAAAAAACTCCAATATATACCAGCACTCGACATTCTCACACATTGCCCAAAACCAATCATTTTTCAATATTCACTAGTGCTCAACAATCAACATTCTCCAATATTGAACACCACACAATATAAATCAAAATATTCTCTCACCTTAACCAATATTAAAGCATCTCTCATATTCGCCAGAACTAACAATCACATATACTATTAAGCATTGTCCCGCAATAACCACTGAAATCAGTCCTTAAAGTTCTCCCAAAATATTTGCAAACAAGAGCCTAGTGTATCTACAGGGCTCAATAGTGACAACTTCAACACAGCGTAGATTCAATACGGTAGCTAATTCCTGTGTTTCCAGGCATGAAGCACATAAAATATGAATTAATTGTTCGCGGTAATGCAATTCTGGGCCAATTCTTTAAAAAAAAAGTTAAGAGATCGTAAGTTCATCAGCCAGTCATTGACGGTCTTTCAAGCCAAATCCACCAATCATAGATAAGAAAATAGAGCGCAAGTACTTACGTTCACTTTGTGAGTTTTGAAAGTATGGCCCCTGGGCGAGACGACACCTGCGTGCATTCCTATACTTCCTCCTGCATGCGCCGCGTCACATCAGGCGTAATATGCTGACGACCCGTTATCTCAAGACACGTCATTGTATGTACTATGTACCGTCCATCGAACTGTTTTGCACAAGTCAATAAAATTCTGCCTACAGTGATTGTAAAAACAAATAGATCAATTGCTACCGTCAAAATTGCAGTTGGAATGTCTATAGTTCGGAAATTCATCCTTTAATAATTTGTAATTTTTCGAAAATAACCAAATTCATAACACTTCGATTTCACTCTGGTACCAAACCCAATGACATAACAAAAAATAAACACATAATCACTGAAAACGAGCAACCTAGTGACTTACGACAACGCTTTGTATCCCTGTTTGAACGTGCTTCTCTTGCAGCGGCTCGCGGTTCGGTGGTGACTGGTGAAGACATGTAAACCCAATCAAGCAGTCAACTGTTGACTGAACTTACATTTCTACATAGGGATCCAGCTTTATTGATTAATTGGAAATTTAAAACTGAAATATATGGGCAGGAGCAGCTGAAATAACACGCTCATGCCAACATATACCACAAGTTACAAATTTCCATTGAAGACTTTGAAGCTCAACTGTGTGTTCTAGAATACCGCCATTATGGCGCCATGCCCATTCATTATATTATTCACTCTGTGCCCATGTCGATGCATGTCATGAGTTTTTCAACTAACTCCACATTAAAGAGCTTTGTACAGGAAAACTAAGAAACTTGTAGTTTCTAATAAAGCTCAGCTATTGCAATTGATTATTTTGAAGGCATATACTTCACAATTTTATTTTTCCCGCTACGATTACACGTTTGAAATGAGCAAAGTTGGCAGTTCGATATCTGATCATCACATGTACCACGCACAAACTGCCGCCGGCAACGCAAACGTGTAGTGTCGGGTACGTGTTTGTTCGCTCAAGCTTCATTTAAACATTTAACGAGTCTAGCAACAAATTTTGCCCTGCGAACAAACATGATAAAGAAACTATGTGGAGCAGGAACCGTAAAGCATTGACTAGGTTTTGTCATCGATGTTGTTTGAACTAATGACTAAACTTTTTAATTTGTTCAAAAAAGTAGTCAGGTGCCTGGGCAGAGTTGGAAATTATGACACTCACGCCGCGATGAGTGACGCCCAGTACGGACAACTGCTATTGAATAAAATGATCATATTTCACTGAAGAAATTTTGTACATAATAAACCGCACCACAATATGATACAGTTGAGCGCCTCACAATCTTGTGAAACTCACTTGAAAATATTACAATTTTGTATACCTTGTTTGTATAACCAAAGGTACATTGTCCAATGCCTGTCATCTGGCAATACACTGTCATCACAATATCATGCAGTGTCATCTGAAACTTATAGTTACATGAACATTTAAAAAACTTGACGGCCTTGAATGCAAAATCAAACGATCATCTGGTGCTTTTTCTGCCAATTAACAGCTTACATATTAGTTATATGTAATGACGAGGATTTGAAATTTGTCTCTTGCAACAAGCATTAATTTTTTTACTGTCACGTACTTATGAAGTAATTTGCTCCTCTTACACCTCTTAATCATATTTCCCTGCCCTCAAACAGCCAGAGGTTTTTAGATACGGCAAAATAAATTAAGATGTTTTTGTACTATAATTAATGAAATTACAGTACTATGTAACTACTACGTAAGCTCAAAAAAGTGGTTGAGCCAATTCTCATGTCGTTCCATCGTATGACGTAACAAACATACGCGTTGACATACATCGTCGCTATTCCCTGAGCGGGAGATGGTCATGGCTCGCTCAATTACAGCGTCTGACATGAGACAGCCTGACCAGCTGCTCGTTTTGGTTATATTACGTAGATTCGGCCCATTGTGCAATCGACTCCCGCAATAAGCTACTAATTTCCAGCCGAATAGGGTAGAGGGCTGATTTGAACCTGGTTAATCTATGAGACGAGTCAATGGAGCCCGAGGCGACCCAGAATGGAACTCGAATTTCGAATGGGTCGATTTCTGAAAATTATCTCCTTACAAACTACGTTCATTCATGTGCCATTGCTTCCACTGAATTTTTTTTTGCTCTCGTTATCTATTTGCTTTGTGCCATCAGTTGTTTTAAATCTGACAGTGAATATTTAGTTGATTTGTCTTATAGAACTTTTGTGGTTCTAGAAAAGAGGAAACGATTGTTCGAAATCAACTTCGGGCGTCTTGAGCGCGCATAAATGAACTGGCATGAACAGATCAGAAAAATAAGATGCTGGTTACGCAATTTTTTGCGAAAGTTTTTGTATAGAAATAGAGTTGAAAACAAGCAAACTATAGTGTTTTGGACTGAATTCGATGCTATTTTATGTCTTTTTACGTCAGCCAAGTGTAAAGGCGAACCTGCTTGGCCTGTATCAATGAAAGTCTTGCTTCTAACATGTTAACTACCCAAATAGATTACTCTAAATATCCACTTTGAATGCACATAATCTAACTCGCGAATACGCGACATTTGATATGTATTTGTTTTAAAACAGTGGTTCACAAAGTGGGCGATATCGCCCCCCTGCATGAAAGCGATGGAAAGATCTGGGGGGGCGGTGAGGAAGAAAAGGGCATGCAGTTGGGGGGCGGCAGTCCGCGAAGTCTAAGTCAGAAGTTCGTACGTTTGTTTGATGATTTGTACACAACACGTGTAGAACTTGACTCCGAATGGAATAAATTTTTACGAGTTGAAAATCACCGTTTGTTAGTTAGGAATTTATGTTCAAAATTTCGTTCGAATCTGTTCAGTAGTTTGGAAGAAATTCTTTGATCACTGCGAATTTTGGCCCCTATCGCCATATAACTCCCGAATGAAGGTGAAATTTAAAAATTTTTCACGAGCTAAGCATCACCGTTATAGGTCCCAATGAATACGTGTTCCAAGTTTTACCGAGCTGCGTTCATTAGTTAGGGAGATATTCTTTGGTCACTGAATTTGGAGATTACCCGTGAGACCGCTGCGAGACCAGCCACGAGTCCGGCCGTAAATTTGTTCGAGCCGTCTTGAATTTCTAGTGCTGAAACAGTTAAAATTGTAAAAATATATTGTTTTACTAAATGGGACATTATTTGTGAAATATACATTTGTGTTTAACATTTCTGTTTTAAAATTGCAGTATACTAAATGTCAAAAAAGAGCATACTAAATATCAAGAGACAGACACATATTTTATATGTGTCTGTCGCGGGTGGGGGGCGCTAGAGATTCGCTGGGGAGCCAAAGGGGGCGCCAGGCTGAAAAAGTTTGGGAACCACTGTTTTAAACCAACCTTTTAATATTATTTCAGATTCCGTCAGGTGTTTGTGAAGGTTTTCTCGACTCTTCCCCAACGCGTGATATGGAAATGGGACGAGGCGTCGATGCCAGGCCTGCCCCCCAACGTCAAGCTGGCCAAGTGGCTCCCGCAGCAGGATATCCTGGGTGTGTAAAACACAAGTTTACAGTTTGCAATCTCACCGCAAGATATCAAGAGAAATCTTCACGAGATTGAAATCTCCAGTAGCAAAAATAACATGGGTGCGTGCAATGGGAGCTGGTCTTGCCCAAACAAGAATTTCAAAAGTATATGATAGTTTAGAGTAAATGTGGAATGCGGTTGCTACATATTTATTTAACATGAAGCTACGAAAAAACAAAAGTAGTTCATTAAGTGTAACAAGTTTGTCGTCATCGCAAGTCACCCTGAGGTGCATTTGTTCATCACCACGGCGGGCTGTTAAGCAAGCTGGAGGCTATTTACCTCATTGTTCCCTTCTTTTTATATGATAGCACTCATAATCTGCCCTATTCATTAAGTATAACAAGTTTGTCATTGCAGGTCACCCTAAGGTGCATTTGTTCATCACCCACGGCGGGCTGTTCAGCACGCTGGAGGCTATTTACCACGCTGTTCCCATCCTCGGCTTTCCTGTGTTTTTCGACCAAGGCAGTAACATGATCAAGTCTACAGCCGACGGCATTGCCGAAACCATCGACTGGGATGACCTTACGGAGGATTTGTTAAATAATACAATACACAAAATGTTGACCGACAAGAAGTGAGCGGCAGCGTTTGTTCAGTTAACTTGTGAATTGGTCCTTCATTTTTTATCAATCTTCTGACACTGCTCGTCAATTACTAGAGTCTGAAAATAGAATTTTAATTACCAATGTAATTATGAGCTGCAGTATTACTTCCATACGTTTGTGTCGTAAGCATTGTTGTATCAAACGATATTGTTAATAGAAATGTAATGTCCCATGTTGGCTAATTTTTTCACTTAAAATACAAATTGTTTCTCTATTTGGACATAAAAATAATAATTGCTCTGGTGAGACGATGCTGTTATAGGACTAAGACCACCGGTGAGCTCAAGAAGAAAAAAGAGTAGCATGTGGTTAACTTGGTAATAGAAAGAGGTTACTGAGCCAAATGTATTGTGAAACTAAAAAGACTTCTGTAACTAGAGCAAGCATTATAAAAAGTATCAAGAATTTTTTGAAAATCTATTGAACGTTATAAAAACGTAACATAATCTGCGAAATCAATTTGAATGACAACATATACTTTGAAATTTCATATTACATTGTTTTGAGACATTTGAGAAGAGCAGATCTATGTACAGTGGCGGAAATGGCTACGACCACCTAGTTTTTTCTGAATATTTTGTCTTGCATAGAAAAATAATTGATTCTAATTATGCGTTTTAAAATTACCTTTAAAAACGGCTTCAACGCTTTACCAAAAAAATTATTTTTGTTTTCAAAATATATGAGAAAAAATGATGAAATTTAGAAAAAATAGAAAAAAACATTTAGAAAAAACCATTTACTAATTTCCAATTACTCACCATTTCCTAACAAGTGATCACTTATTCACACATACGCGATAATTTATTCGCCATACACAAGCGATCATTTATACGCCACTCATGCGCGATCACATATTCACCACACTTAAGCGATAACTTATTCGCCATACGCAAGCTATTATTTATTCGCTATATGTGCGATTATTTATTCGCCGCCGTTTGTGCGTGATCGTGGTGTGCTGATCGTTTGTAGTAGTCGTATTACTCACAAACGATCATTCATTCGCCACACACACTCGATCAATCACTCATCATTTCCTAATTTCCAATTACTCACCATTTCCTAACAAGTGATCACTTATTCTCACATACGCGAACATTTATTCGCCATACACATGCGATCATTTATACGCCACACATGCGCGATCACTTATTCACCACATTTAAACGATCAGTTATTCGCCACACGTAGGCGATCAATTATTCACCATAGACAGCGATAATTTTTTCGCCATACACAAGCGATCATTTATACGCCACACATAAGCGATCAGTTATTCGCCGCACGCACATAAGAATAAAAAAGCCTCGTATTTTGATATGAGAAACATATTAAATTCAATTTACCCCCTCTACCTTCGTATCGCTTTTAGACAACATTTTTAGATAACATTTATATAAGTGAATGAGATCTGAGATATGATCATGAGATATAAGTGAATGAGAATTCATTCTGTACCTATATAATGATCATTAATCCGTCACTCAGAAACGACCGCAAAATTGCACCGGGGAAAATGGATAACCCGGTCTGCTTTTCTTACAAGTTTAACTTTGATTACACAGGTCTGCCAAAAAATTTGGAAATTTTTTATTTCGTAAATTATATTTATGTAGTTTTTGTACTAATTTTATAAATGATTCTTTTAGATCACGATCAATTCCCTAGAATATAATTTTAAAAATCATAATTTTTTAATATAAATTAATAATTTAACCGTTTGAATTAACTAATAAATTTATTAATTGAACCGTGAATTGAATTGGAACCGTTTTTAAACCTAGTTTAGCCTTGTATAGTTGAAATCCAGTAATTTTCTATGCAAGAAAAAATATTAGAAAAAACTGTGTGGTCGTATAGCCATTTCCGCCACTGTAGGGCAGACCTATTCTCGTTGAGTTCCGTACTCAGTTCAGCATTCAACTGGGCTCTTGGAATTCAAATAGTATCAAATGATTTTTATGCAATTACCCAAGCTGCGAGTGTTCACTGAAACTGTGGAATTTTTAACTGAAAATATTGTATATAAAGCATTTCTATCGGAAAAAATCGACTAAATAAAATTTTCTTTTAATTTGTCAATACTTCAGTGGTTCGATGCTTCTAAATAAATCAGAACTTTTGTCTGAGAATGCGGGCTGTGACGTAGGTTTTTTATTGCGCAGGTGTCACTAAGAAAGGTACGTCGGAGAATTTATCTACTTGCTCTAGCTTAACTCTAGCATAGATGCATTCACTGAGACAGCCACGATGAAACAAGCTCAGATCATGGCGGATTTATTAAAAATTCACTGATAACCCAAATGATCATGCAAACGTTTGTAAGATTTTTTCGAAGTTTTTTAAAAGGTTGAACGGTTATTTCGAACCTTTGGATAGATTTAATAATATATACAAGCTACGATTTACTAATATTCCTACATTCAGTTTCTATCCATTTTTCACACTCGTTTTACTTGGGAACGGAAAAATTTTAGCAACGCCTGCCGTTACATTTACTTGGGTCATTTGATCATGAACATGCGAAGATGTGATAAAATTACATTCCGCCTGACCATTTATGTCAAAAATTAAGCTGAGATAAATTTGGGAGTCGTTCATTCTTATCACGAATTCTATGACGCTGGACTGGGACTACGAGCTGAAATCGCGTATTTTATTTTATCAAAATATTTCCTGATTTTCGCATATATTGTAAGCAGAAAAATAATTACTCTTTCCCTCCATTCCACCAAAACTCCCCCCAAAAATAAGTTAGTAGTCCTTAGCTAGTAAATACATTGATACACTAGAGAAGAGATGAAAAAAAGAAACAAGTTTGATGTAGATGAAAATTTCAACTACATCAAACTTTGAGCAACCGTTGCTTCTAAGGCTGAAAAATGTTGTTTCCTATCAAGTCATAATAAGTGCGACACTATTACCACGTTTGATAAGTTAAGTCACACATGCCAGGTTAGGTTAAGCAATAGGTTAAATTAAGTAATAACAATCGTGTTTAAAATTGCCACCGTTTGAGAGTAAGCGGCCGAATCATCTTAATTGCGTAGAGACGCAAACTCTATTCCACTATCATGTTACCTCCGTGAGTTTTAAAACGATTGCATATTGCTTACTTACTTCATACCTAAAACTTACTTACTTCATACTTTTTTTATCTTAAAAATGTTAATAATTTATCAGATTGTGTGTACTTCGGTGTTATGTTAATTAATTTCGGAGAAGAAATACTCTTAAGTTCGATATTTCGGCTGTCGAAATTCAATGCGGCAAATATTGATACTTCCAAAAGATACTGATGCTTACAGAAGATACCAACAGGGATGAATGTAGATTAATTATACTTACACATGTGAAGCATTCCTCCGTGGCTTTCTCGTTATCGAAAATAGTAATTTCGTTCCTGAAGTTTTTGTCAGTCCGTCTCATTAATAACAGATCGCAATTTGATATAGGCAACTAAACGAAAGGAACGAGTAATTACTAAAATTCATTTCAGGTTACCTGCAATGTGGCCGGTTGAATAAAAGGCGTAAAGTAGTTGAGTGTGATTAATAGTGAGTAGTATCATAGTATGTGATTAATAGTGAGTAGTATCAAAACACTGAATCTCGTTCGTTTCATTTAGATATCCCGACGATGACAGTTGAAAATTTAAACACAGTTTTCGAACTTTCATTATCTTCACGTGCGTTTTTTGAATAAATAGGAAAGTCTTCGTAATCTAAACTGTAGGTATAGTCCGAAACGACCAAATGTAGGATATCAATTCATACAATAGGACACAGTGAGCATACGCGTTCACGTAACGTCCTATAATTATATTGATTTGCCTTACTTGTACGTGTATGTGCATAGTTCCAAGTCATTTACCTCTTTCAGGTCAAACGAGGAAAAAATCATGATTATGTACATGAATGTCGTATACTTGATTGATAACGCCTCGTAATCTCAGATAATGCCGATCTCCTAGTGACTGTCTGTAAGTGTGTCATTCTCTTTCTGCGAAGTAAACGAATAGTTGTCCCTATTTAACCGAGGCAAACGCATGTGTATATTGTTTTTCGTACGTTGGAATAGGGAAGGTAATAAATTTTTTTAGTTTACGTAAGTGAAGTTGATTTAGTTGCAATTTCTCAAGTTTAATTATCTATAACATATGTAATAAAACATTAAGACTTTTCACACGGACGGACTTCTATTCTAAAACATTTTGCCAGCTTTACCAAGTGTAATTATAATGTTTCATGGGGCATTTCTTTCCGGCTATTCAGCGAGATTGAACGGCTCAGAAATTAGTCGTTAATTTCGTATTATGCGAACTCTTTTCCTGATACCAATTATCTATT